ACTTTTAACCACAAGTCTTACTTTATACTTGTCTATTGAACCATTTGCTTTCATTTTCCTCTTCAATATCCATTTATACCCAAGAGTTTTGCACCCATGTGGAAGATCCACTAACTCCCAAGTGTGATTTTGCATGATGGATTCAATTTCACTATTAACAGCCTCTTTCCATAATGGTGCTTCAGGAACCAACAATGCTTCTTTAAAACTTCGAGGCTCACTTTCTAACAGGTATGTAAGAAAATCTAGGCCAAAGGATTTTGATGTTCTCGCTCTTTTACTGCATCTTGGTTCATCCACTGTTTTTAGTCTTATTTTAGTCTTTTTTTAGGAATAGGAACTTCTACCTTTGCTAGACACCCCCACACTTTAAAATATTTGTAAGAAGGCGGTTGACCTTTCCATGACTCATAAAGAGTGCTATTCGTTTTCTTGTGGGGTATTCTGTTAAGAATATAATTAGTAGACAATATTGCTTCCCTCCTCCCTTCCTCAAAACAAGTTTTGTGGTAAGCCTAAGCTTAGTAACATGACATTTATCATTTCCTTAAGGGTTCTATTCTTCTTTTCCGCAATTCCATTTTGCTGAGGAGAATATGTTGATGTAGTTTGATGAATAATCCATGTTGTGCACAAAATTCATTTAAAGTTTCATCATATTCACCATCCCTATTACTTCTAACCATTTTAATGGTTTTACTTAATTGATTTTCAACCTCGGTTTTGTAAAGTTTAAACATTTCTAAGGCCTCATCTTTACTTCTAAGTAAGAATATATAACAATATCTTGTGCAATTATCAATAAATGTTATGAAATACTTTTTGTCTCCTCTAGTGCAAACAAATTTAAGATCACAAATATATCAGTATGAATTAATTCTAGAGGTTCAGTTTTTCTTCCAACTGATTTGAGTGGTGTCTTAGTCAATTTCGTTTCTACACATGCTTCACATTTATGATTAGGATCAATTTGAAATTTTGGTTTATAATATAAACCAATGAGCCTACGTAAAGCATCCAAATTTACATATCATAATCTACCATGTCGTAAATAAGACTCAAGAATATGAACAAAAGCCGTGTTAATTTTATTAATAGCAGAAACTGGTACAATAGTCATTACATTCAATTTGAAGAGCCCATCGCTCATATACCTTTTACCGACATACATGCCACTCTTAGTTAGTACAAATTTATCAGACTCAAACACAAACCTAAAAATATTTTTACTCAACAAAGATCAAGAAACTAGATTCTTGTGAATGTCTGGTATATGCAACACGTTGTTAGGAGTAAGTTACTTCCCCGAGGTCATTTTCAATATCACCTTTCATTGTCCAGCTACGACAGAAGCAAAAGAATTTCCCATGAAAAGTTGTTCCCTATTGGCAGCCTCACTATATGAAAAGAACATCTTCTTATTCGCACAAATATGACGAGTTGCCCCAGTGTTAACCCATCACTCCTTGGGATTTCCAACCATATTAGTCTCGGACACTACAGCATAAAGATTGATGTTATTTACCCTTCCAGAGATGTAATCTAGTTTTGTCACATTGGCTTGATTGGTAATCTTTTTACTTATACTTTCGCGATCCTTCTTAGGGCGTCGACAATCAGAAGCACGATGTCCAGTCTTGCCACAGTAATAGCATTTCCTTTGTAATTTTTATTGCCATTTTTGTCACCTTGTTTAGGACCATCTCCAGCAAACTTCCTCTTATTGTTATGTGGTTTGGGCACTTGATCCACTACATTAGCCTTGGACTCAATGGAATTTTTACCATACCTCTTTTCAATATTCTGATTATCTTCTTCAATTGTCAATCGAACAATAAGTTCTTCCAATGTTATCTCTTTGCGTTTATGCTTAAGGTAGTTCTTGAAATCTTTCCAAGCAGGCGGTAATTTTTCCACAATTGTAGCAACTTGGAAAGATTCGCTGAGAGACATACCTTCAGCATGAATATCACGCAAGATGAGTTGGAGACTTTGTACTTGGCTAATAACCATTTTAGAATCAATCATGACAAAGTCCAGAAATTTTCCAACAACGAATTTCTTCGTGCAGGCATCCTTTGTCTTGTATTTTTTCTCTAAAGAATCCAACAATTCTTTTGCTGTTTGAAGGGGTTGTAAACATTATACAGCATGTTGTCTAGGCCATTAAGGATGTAATTCTTGTAAACAAAATCAAAATTCTTCCAAGCATCCACTGCGGCAACAACTTGCCGATCACTTTTATCCTCTTTAAGTACTAGAGCATCTTCATGGAGAAACAAGGCAAGATTAAGAGTTGTCAGATAAAACAGTATTTTCTGCTGCCATCTCTCAAACTCTATACCGTTAAATTTTTTCGATTTCTTTCCATGATTCATAGGAATTTGAACAAAGTTCTGGGTAATGGACGGTGTTAGTGTAACAACCGGATTGGAGGTACCAGTTTCAGAAGCAACACAATTTTCTAGTTACAAAAACTAGAAGAAAAAAATCAAAATTTTGAATACAATGAAGAAATGAGTCTGTCTTAAGATTGTTAGACAATCTTCACTGTAGTCAATGAATTGATTAAAGAAGAATAAAATATGTTTGATTACTTAAATCAAAACAGAACATAGAATAATAAAATATAGAAAAACCAATTTTGATTTTGTTACACAAAACAAAACAGAATAAAAAAAATAAAAAACAACCTAAAATGAAAATCGCAAACAAACTACTTATAGTATTACTTCTTCGGAAATTCAATCAAGCCCAGTGTTGAACACTGTCTAACTTACAAGTGTCTGAATACTCAAATTAAGAACAAATTTGTGATTGAGGCCAGTGTATGGACACTGTGTCTTTAAGACAGAAATTCGCCCTCTCCAAGGTGCTCGAGAATAATGGACGTCCTGCCTCCAGGATTCAACAATCACCCCAAACAGATGTAGCACTACAAACTCGTTTGTACTGCGAACCAGAATGTATTCTTTTATAAACTCACAAGATGCAGAAAAAATGAAGATGAACAAAAGCAGAGAATGGAAAATATAGTTATGGGTTAGAGTTATATCTTTGACTAGGAATGGAGGGTTGATATATATAGGCTGAGAGGTGCCTATTCCGAAATAGAAAACTGTTATCAAACAGTTGCCAAGTCGGAGACGCGACTGTTGGAGAAGGTGCAACATTGCAACCGAAACATATCAGATTTTTTGAATTCTTTCCCGCTGGAATTATTCGAAAAAATTCAAATAATTTTTGGTGCAAAAAATCAAGGACTGGTAAGACCCAAACCCACACCGACCCGGCCGGACGGCCGGCGGCGGCGGCGCGCGCGTGTGGTGATGGTTTTGGGTTTGTCCATAACTCCTTCTTCCACAAAACTTGGGTACCTCTTGGGGCCCTCCCCAAGATACAAACTCAAGGCTTATAAACCCACACCAAGTTTGCCTACTTAAGCAATGTGGGACAAGCCTTTCTCCACCCCTTATGGAAACCTCATCAAAACACCATTTCCATGGTGTTCATTTTGGTATTGATTTTTCATTCACCCGATAATGATTTTGAGCAACTAAATATAAAACATGAATCATTACGCAGCAAAGAATGCATTGCCACATAGGCCCGCCAACTTTAACACATGGATCTCATTTAAAAAAATAGACCAAAGTTTAGGAAAAAACTCTTTTTTTTTTCTTTTCTTTTTTTTTTTTTTTCTTCCCAAAACCATTTCTTACGCTTCTCAAATTATAGCATTATTGTCATAATTTGATAAAAGTCTTTCTTACCAAAAAGTAAAGTTTGAAAATATCATAAAGCTTTCTCCCAAAATAATAATAATAATATTAATATTAATATTTAATTAACAATTACCAAACGCATTAATTTTTTTAAAATAATAAAATAGAAAAGCAAAACTCAAAAAACATGATGAGTTTTTTTAGTACGATAAATTAGGAGTAGCCATCGGCTTGACGGACTGTCCAACTGACCTAGTCCAGCTCAATACTTTTGGGATTTAGAAATTTTATTTTGCTTATAGGGCAGTATTGGGTTGAAATTATGTCAATTTAATATTCAGTTTGAGTTTGGGATAAAGAGTTCTAACCTACATTATAAAATTTTAATTTTTTGCGACGGTACGGTGCAGTCGCTAATACTCTTAATGCCGTCTCAAAAAGTTTTAACGATGGCAAATGACTTTTAGTGACGACAAATGGGGGGTCACAACAGAGGGCGTTGTAAAAATCTTTTAGCGAAGGCAACTGTTACCTTTTACGACAGCAATTTACTATCGCATATAATATGTAAAAAAGTCAGACCTTTTGCGACGGCACCGTTTTATCGTCGCTAAAAGTTTTATTTGAGACGGCATAAAATGCTATCACGAATGGTTTTGTTTTTTTGCAACAGCATGCCCACTGTCACCAATGGTTCTAATATTTTTTGCGACGGTACGGTGCCGTTGCAAAAAAAAAATGCAATATAATTATTAAAAATATTAAAATTACATTTTTTTGCGACGGTGTGGTGCCGTCGCAAAAAATAAATAAATAAATAAACTGTAATATAATTATTAAAAATATTCAAATAATCTGTTTTTGCGACGATGTGGTGCCGTCGCAAAAAAAATTATTAAAAATATTAAAATTACCTGTATTAAATGAAAAACAATTGAAAAAGAAACCAATAATTGCATAATAATATAAAAATTCCTGTATAGAAAAAAATAATTTCTTCATAATAAAAATATTCTTACATTCATAACTACACATCAACAAAATTTCCCCACTGCATAATATTCCATAATACATATATAATGTTTAAATACATAATGTTGTTCATAATTCAAAATAACATAAACCAAGTTTTGCTCATCATTCTCCGTGGGTAAAAAAAACAAAAATTAGTCGCATTCTTTACAGACATGCATTCCACAAGAAGCAAACTTCTACTCGGGAAATATTTGAAAACAAAAAATAAATATAATTAATGACAATATAATTATGTGTTAATATGTTAATTACAAAAAAATATAAAAATTACTACTATACAATTACAAAGATAGTTAAGTAAGCAAGTTGAATTTTAGTATGAAGTTTCCAAAAAATAATCTCCCCTCATCCAAGTTAATTTTATCTATTCCTTTTTAAGTGGTGGCTTGCAGGATTATGACCTGAAATTGAACATCATGGTTGTCACATGCTGTTAAACCAAAAAAAAAAGTTCTCAGAGGGATGGTAGTGCTGCTTACATTGTTGACGAGCTTCACTACTGTTGCCTGTATGTAATTTTTGTATTTTGTTCTCAACAGGACAGTTATTCCGTTCATCTGCTCTCCAAAAAGCGACTTCTTATCTTCAATGACAGGTAGATAGGATGCCCAAGACTTCAAAATGTCCTCAACCTTGCAGTGTAAAACATCAAGAATCCTCTTAATGGTGTTCAAAAAAGTTCCCAACTGCCAAGGACAGACAAGAAAATCCAGTAAGATAGATGCACCTTTTGTAAGTGCTAGAAGGAGAATTCTTTGGTTGAAGAATTTTTTGCTGAACTTTTTTTTTTTTTTTTTTTGAAAGAGTTTTTTTGCTCAGCTTGAATATTTATGACATAAAATGTCCCAAATTTTCTATTCTTTTTATTTGATAGTCCTAATTTGACAAAATTTTCAGACTGAATTCATGATAAACATAATAACAGTCATTTCTGCTACCTAATTCAGTTACTGATATAACCATGATCGGCTATAGTATACAGTTTCAGAACTTACTTGACTAGGAACAGAGTAAAGAGCAGTTGATTGTCTTCCTGTTAGTTTATGAACTTGCATACCAAGCCTTTTTGGAATGCTACCTTTCAATGGAGTCAAGATATCACTGTATTGCTTTTTCATTGCTTTTATGATTGCTCTTTCCACATTTGCGACAGCCTTAAGAAAATCAGCAATTCACATTTAGGAAACTTATTAGAATTAGTAAATAACAGTACTTGTGGCTCGTGGTAGCTGTTGGGTAAAATTCAAAACTCACATTCTCCAAAACCAATGAATATTGAGGCTATCTATTCATGACAACTTCATACTCGATAAGCATTTCTTTGATCTTCTCCTACATTTCCTTAGCAAATGGTGAGGTAGAATGATTCGTAAATATTCCAGACCATGACACTAAGTTTCTTAAGATACTAGCTTGTTTCTTAAGAGTGAAATCCGGCTCTAACTCCCAAACCGGAAACCTGATTTGAGTCCCGTATTCTACCACAAGTCTCTCGTACCTAGGCGAACATGTGTGCCAAGTTTCGTGCTACTCCGATGCCGTTTGGTGATTTTGGGACGTTGACACCTCGAATTCTAAGTTTCTTAAGAAACTAGTTTGTTTCTTAAGAGTGAAATCCGGCCCTGACTCCCAAATCGGGAACCCGATTCGAGTCCCGTCTTCTCCCACAAGTCTCTCATGCCTAGGCGGTCGTGTGTGCCAAGTTCCGTGCTACTTCAACGCCGTTTGGTGATTTTAGGGCATTAACACCTCAAATTCTAAATTTCTTAAGAAACTAGTTTAATTCTTAATAGTGAAAATTGGCTCTAACTCCCAAACCGGGAACCTGATTTGCGTCTCGTCTTCTCCCACAAGTCTCTTATGCCTAGACAGTCGTGTGTGCCAACTTTCATGCTACTACAGCATTGTTTGGTGATTTTGGGATGTTAACACCTCGAATTCTAAGTTTCTTAAAAAACTAGTTTACCTAGAGTGAAATCCAGCCCTAACTCTAAAACCAGGAACCTTATTCGAGTCTCGTCTTTTCCCACAAGTCTCTCGTGCCTAGGCGGTCGTGTGTGCCAAGTTTTGTGCTACTCTGATGCCATTTGGTGATTTTGGGGCATTAACACCTCAAATTTTAAGTTTCTTAAGAGTAAAATCCGGCTCTAACTTCCAAACCGAGAACCTGATTTGAGTTTCGTCTTCTCCCACAAGTCTCTCATGCCTAGGCGGTCATGTGTGTCAAGTTTCATGCTATTCCAACGCCGTTTGTTGATTTTAGGGCATTAACACCTCAAATTCTAAGTTTCTTAAGAAACTAGTTTGTTTCTTAAGAGTGAAATCCTGTTCTAACTCCCAAACCGGAAATCCGATTCGAGTCTCATCTTCTCCCACAAGTCTCTCGTGCCTAGGTGGTTGTGTGTGCCAAGTTTCGTGCTATTCTGACGCCGTTTGATGATTTTGGGACATTAACACCTCAAATTCTAAATTTCTTAAGAAATTAGTTTGTTTTTTAAGAGTCATCTTCTCCCACAAGTCTCTCGTGCCTAGGTGGTTGTGTGTGCCAAGTTTCGTGCTATTCTGACGCCGTTTGATGATTTTGGGACATTAACACCTCAAATTCTAAATTTCTTAAGAAATTAGTTTGTTTTTTAAGAGTGAAATCCCGCTCTAACTCCCAAACCAGGAATTCGATTTGAGTCCCGTCTTCTCCCATAAGTCTCTCGTGCCCAGGCGGTCGTGTGTGCTAAGTTTCGTGCTACACTAATGTCGTTTGGTGATTTTGGGGCATGAACACCTCAAATTCTAAGTTTCTTAAGAAACTAGTTTGTTTCTTAAGAGTGAAATTCGGTTCTAACTCCCAAATCGGGAAACCGATTCAAGTCCCGTCTTCTCCCACAAGTCTCTCGTGCCTAGGCGGTCATGTGTGCCAAGTTTCATGCTACTCCGATGCCGTTTGGTGATTTTGGGGCGTTAACACGTCGAATTCTAAGTTTCTTAAGAAACTAGTTTGCCTAGAGTGAAATCTGGCCCTAACTCCCAAACCGGGAAACCGATTTAAGTCTCGTCTTCTTCCATAAGTCTCTCGTGCCTAGGCGGTCGTGTGTGTCTAGTTTCGTGCTACTCCGACACCGTTTGGTGATTTTTGGGCATTAACACCTCCAATTCTAAGTTTTTTTAAAAACTAGTTTGTTTCTTAAAAGTGAAATCCGGCTCTAACCCCCAAACCGGGAATCCGATTTGAGTCATGTCTTCTCCCACAAGTCTCTCATGCCTAGGCAGTCGTGTGTGCCAAGTTTCATGCGACTCTGACGCCGTTTGGTGATTTTGGGGCATTAACACCTCAAATTCTAAGTTTCTTAAGAAACTAGTTTGTTTCTTAAGAGTGAAATCTGGTTCTAACTCCCAAACTGGAAATCCGATTCGAGTCCCATCTTCTCCCACAAGTCTCTCGTGCCTAGGTGGTTGTGTGTGCCAAGTTTCATGCTACAATAAAACCCAGAGCTCCTCAATGTTAGTTTGGAAGAATCAGCGCAATGTACTCAAAATCAGAAAAAAGAAAATAAAAAAATAAAAATAAAAATCTTATAAACCACTTAGAGGCTTCTCCATCAAGGACAGTTGCAGCATGATATCGTCTCGCAAATATTGGAAGACCTAACCAGATTAGCATGAATAGGTGCAGAATACACATCAATTGATCCAATTCTGAAATTTAGTGCTAAGAATGGGAAGAAACTATTATATAACTCACATTCATACTCCATTTTCATGTTGAAAAACATGGATTATTTTGGAAATTAGTTGTACAGAAGCTTAAGTTTTCTAATCAACAACACAAATCCTTATTTCCATGTAAGGGTCATCTGTTTTAATTCTTGTATGGTGTATGCAGTGTTCATTAACACCAAAAAGCTAAAGCTAGAAGCTGAAAATTTTCATCAGCAACCCCAACCAAAATGCATATTATTTAGGCCAACTCTCAAGTTCCAATATATATATATATATATGTGCTCAAAATAATTGAATTGCATCAAATGGAAATGCAAAAAGGAGGGGAAATTTAGCTGACACAAATTTCTGACGCAATCAGCTTCCTCTTTGGCGAATCTGATGGTGTATCTTCTTGGCAAAGAAAATTATTTCCTAACTTCAAATGAATATTTCTATTCCCGGATTTTATTACAATGAATACACACACACAGAGAGAACAACACCTGTTCATTTACGTTGTATGATATGATCTACCAAATGCCGATCCATAATATCAAATTCAAATCATCTATGGCATTATGATTTTCATTAATAAGAAAATCAAGAATTCTAATAGCATAGTTTTAAATTTTTTACTCGATGAAAACTCAACAAAAGGAAGTAACGGAATCATATATAGGTGAAGCATGATGACAAATTAACCAAAATCAACAATGAAAATTACTTTGCTCTACTATAAATATGCATGTGCTTAAGGCAGAGTTGTTTTAGTAGTTATCGCAAACTTAATCATTTCATGGGAGAAATAAACAAATCGATCTACTAAGTTTTCTATAATTAGAGAAGCAAAAAAATTGAAATTTGGAATATGACAGCTATTTGAACAAAGCTTGTGATATGATATATCATAATAAAAATATTATAAATTGAAAAATAATAATAGCTAAGTTGGAATTGGATTGTAAAACTATAAAACTATTTCAGCATCAGTGTTTAGTTGGTGCCACACTCGTCATGATTTAATTGTATTGTCAAAAATTAGCTAATGTGATAAATTATAGTTTCAATGGCATTGATAGAAAGATATATGCTATAGTATCTTGAAAAAAAGATCTTCAAAAGCAATATTTTTTTTGGTAAGCTAAAGTAAGCATGGCTGAACATGATAACTTCTTCAAATTTTGATTAAGGAAACGAATATATCAACATTCAAAAAATGAACAGAAAATAATGTAGAAAGAAAATGCGTTGCTTTCGATCATGATTAAACACTCTAAACATCTCTGTGGCAAGTAGGGGAATAAGCATTTGTGGTTTTTCCTGATTCAATTCAGTAAATGCCCATATTGTTTTGTTCTTCCATGGACTTATTTATTTCATGTTTTGTACAAATTCCTTACATTCAAACTCCTAACTCAAACCCAGTTGGTTTTTACTATATTCATATGTCAACTACTAGAAACCCCAAATAAATACTGATATTTCAATGGGACGCTAAATGCTTAAAACCCCAGCTATGACATTAACTCATTGTCTACCAATATTATATCCTTTTCCATTGGAAACACATAATCAATACTCCATTTAAACTAACAAAACTTATTTCCATTTAAAGCCTTAAAAATAAACCAACAAAAATCAGATTATAAAAATTTGGGACCCCCAGCTATAATTAGTCCTTATTATTTGAGTTTCTAGAGCATAAAATGCAAAACCCTTTCAAAGAATTGAACTTTTAGAAGAAAAAAAAAATTAGGATTACAAAGGAAATGATTACCACTCAACATAAACTCATAAATCAAAACAAATTAATGAGTACAAATAATGTAATATACTGAAAGACTGGACAAAGAAAAATTAAAACACATATTGAGAGAGAGAGAGAGAGAGAGAAGGAAGAAATACCTGTTGAGAAATTTCATTTTGCAGAGATGGTCTTGGTTTCATTGTTGAAGGTGGGTCTTAAAACACATATATAAGCAGAGCATTTTTTTTTCTAGAAAAATAGAGAGTAAAAAAAAAAACTAATATTTGAAAAAAAAAATTACAACAATTTTCAAAACTCAGATTTGAATATATCTCTTCAAAATCCATTACAAAACTCAAATTTTAATAAGATTGAAAATCCTTTAAAAACCATGTGTTCAATACAAGGGAAAAAATATACATCTTCTCTTTCCAACCCTAGAAAACAAAGAAACACCAAATCAAGAAGCAAAAGGTCCAAATCTAAAGACCCATTTCGTCAAAAAACACTACAAAGAAACCCAAAACAGAGAATAAGGGAATGAGACGGTAGAAAGAGAGCAGAGAGAAAGCACGTACCAAATCGGCAAGCTGAGAAGATGAGGCGGCGACCGGCAAGGCTACTAGTGGCGGTGATGACTGGCAAGGCTACTAGAGGTGACGGCGATGGCGATCGGCGTGGTGATGGAGCAAGAGGTGAGACAAATGTTGGTTATCAATCTGTGAATACGATGAGATGTTTAGAGCTGTTAGGGTTTAATTCGAGGATTTTTTTTTTAGGGGATTGGGGATTAGGGATTTGAGATCGTGAGAAACAAAATGGGGGAAAGAAATGGGGGGAATTCAGATAGAGTGGGAAAACGAAAACAAAAAAAAGAAAAGAAAAGGAGAGTTAGGAATATGCGGTGTGAACCACGTCGTTTGGACAAAATGTTTAAAACTTGTTCAGACTTAAAATATTTATATTTATTTTTGTATTATTTATAATAATGGGATCATATACACTATAATTGAAAAAAAATTAATTAAAAAAAATTGTTAGTCACATTTTTAATTTCTGTTTAAAAACCAACGTAAACTCATTTTTTGAGTTTATAATTTTTCCTCAAATTTATAAATTGAGACAACCATTTATAAACCAAAAAAATTATTAAACAAGTTTTTATGGCAGTTTTGTGAATTTTTTGTAAATATAAACTAAAAATTGAAAATGAAATGGTTACTAAACAGGCCCTAAACAATGAATCCATGGCTCGTTTAGTAATTTTTCTATTTGCAACAGGGGTATTGTCGTCGCCGATAGCTTGTATTTGCGACAGGGGAAGGTTGTCGTACCAAAAAAAAAAAAAAACTCATTTTTTTGCCAAAAACCTTCATGTCCATTTTGCTGCGCAATGAAAGCTAGAAAGAGAGAGAGAAACATAAAATGAAAGAGAAACAAGAGATAATTAGTGAGAGAAAGAAAGAGAGAGAAAAAAAGAGATGAACGAGAGATATAGAGAAAGACACAAAAAGAGAGAGAAAAGTGATGAGCAAGAGAAACAGAGAGAGATGATAGAGATAGAGAAAATGGATGAGTGAGAGAGATAGAGAAGAGAGATTAGTGAGAGACATAAAGAGAAAGAGAGAGAGAGAGTGAAAGAGAGAGAGAAAGAGAGAGAGAGAAACAAGATGAGCGAGAGAGAGAGAGAAAGAGAGCAAAAAGAGATGACACAAGAGATATAGAGAGAGACATATATATATATATAGAGAGAGAGAGAGAGAGAGATGGAAGAAAGATGAGCACGAGAGATAGAGTGTGAAGAGAGATGAGAGAGCTAAATAGAATAGTGATGAGTGAGAGAGAGAGAGAGAGAGATGCAAGATGAACGAGAGACATAGAGAGAGAGAGAGAAAAAGAGGCCCATTTCATTTTTTGACTTTTTCCTTTTTTGACAAGTCATTAAGAGAAATGAGAGATGAGTGATTGAAAGAGAAGAGAAAGAGAAAGAAAAAGAAGAGATCGATAAATCAAAAGGGAGATCGGTAAATCGAGAAGAAGGGAATAAGAGAGTGAGCAACGCAAACACAGTGTGGGAGAGAGAGAGAGAAAGAGACAAACACAGACAGACAAACAAAGAGTAATGAATGAGAGAGAGAGAAAGAGAAAGAGAAATAGAAATAGAAGAGAGATGAGCGAGACAGAGAGACCGGAAGATGAAAAAATGTGTGAAAATAGAATGTTATATCAAAATAGTATCGTTTTTTCTTTTTTTTTTGTGCGACGACATTTATTACCATCGTAAAAAACTCTTTTATCTGCGACTGCAGTTCATGCCGCCGCAAAAAAGAACTTTATTTGTGACAGCAGGGGTTACCATCGCAAAAAATGTGCATTATTTGCGATTGTAGTTGTTGCCGTCGCAAAAAGTTGTTTTTTTGTGACAGGAAGTGGTGCCATCGCTAAAAACCCATTTATTGGTGATGACAAGTGATACCGTCACAAAGAATCACTTTTTGCAACGATAAGTGGTGTCGTCACAAATGTTTCCGTGTTATATAGCCCCTTTTCTTGTAGTGATGTCAAGCTTTGTTCCCTGAAGGTACTGTGAGGACCCTTCCAAGAACCTATTCGGATCATTCTCCACTGGTGATTTACACACAAGGTATGCACCCCTCCAACTCTCACAATAGACCCTTTAGATTTGAAACTGCTTGGCTGTGTCACCCCACTTTCTTTGATGTTGTTCATAAATTTTGGCATAATATGGAGTTTAAACTGCTTGAAGCCATTGATAACTTCACTATTAATGCTAAAACCTGGAACAAAGAAGTTTTTGGCAACATTTTTAAACGGGAAGAGACTTTTACTTGCTAGAATTGAAGGCATCCAAAGAGCCCAAACTACTATTTTCTCTCACAGTTTACAGGCCTTAGAAAAGGACCTCATCAATCAGTATAATGTTACTCTTTTTCAAGAGGAAATACTTTGGTTTCAAAAATCTCGTTCTAAATATATATCCCTTGGTGATAAAAACAGCAGATATTTCCATGTTTCTACCATAAACAAGAGGAGGAAACTTAAAATTAATGCCCTTAAAGATTCTGATGGAAACTGGATCACAGAGATAGAGGGAATCAAGTCCATTATCTTGAACTATTTCTCTGACCTCTTCAAGAAAACTGGCATTCACATTCTTAGCCATTAGAGAAATATTGCTCCCATCTATTTTACCATTGAGGATAATGTTGATTTCCTCAAACCTATCTCCAATACTGAAATCTTGAGACCTGTTAAGAATATTGGGGCCTTCAAAACACGAGGAAAGGATGGTATGTAAGCCATCTTCTAATAGAAATATTGGCACACTGTGGGTAAGTCTGTTTGTGATTTTGTCATGGATTGCTTCCATAAAACCAACATCCCCAATACTATTAATGAGACCTTAATTGTGTTGATTCCCAAAGTTGACAATCCTGAGAACATTAAACAATTTAGACCCATTAGCCTTTGCAATGTCTCCTATAAGATCATTACTAAGCTAATTGTGGGTAGAATTAGACCTCTCCTTGATAAAATCATCTGTCCTAACCAAAGTAGCTTCATACCTGGGAGAAACACAACTGATAACATTATTATCACCCAAGAGATCCTTCATACTTTGAGAAACAAAAAAGGCAAGAAGGGAGGTATGATTTTTAAAATTGATTTGAAAAAAGCCTATGACAGACTCTCATGGGACTTCATTAGAGATACTTGGTATGAATTTAAACTCAATGAACAATGGGTGGAATTGATTATATGCTGTGTTACTAATACCAAATCTTCTATTCTCTGGAATGGTGAAATTCTGGATGGCATTCCTATTGAGCGAGGACTTAGACAAGGTGATCCCCTATCACCCTACCTATTTGTGCTTTGTATGGAAAGGTTATCCAACATGAAAAACCTTAAAGTGAGTGAGAGATCATGGCATGGAATCCAAGCTTCTAGGATTAGGCCCCCTCTATCCCATTTGTTTTTCGTTGACGATCTTATTTTGTTTGCTAAAGCTGACCACTCCAACTGTGAAACTGTTATGGATGTTCTCAATGACTTCTGTGAGATCTCTGGTCAGAAAATTAACCATTTGAAATCCAAAATCTTTGTTTCTCCCAACCTCTCTTCTACCTAAGCCAGGTCTTTATGAAACCAATATGGTATCCCCCTTACTTAAGACCTTGGTAAGTATTTGGGATCTCCTCTCCTTCACACAAGGATTAGCAAACATATTTTCAATGAAATTCTTGAGAAGCTGAAGTCTAGATTATCATGTTGGAAAGCTAAAAACCTCTCCTTTACAGGTAGGATTACTCTCATTCAATCAGTTACTTTTGCTATCCCTTCCTACAATATGCAAACTATGGAACTCCCTAGGAAAATTTGTGATAAAATAGACAAAATCAATAGGAATTTCCTATGGGGAGATATTGAGAATAAAAGGAAAATACATCTTGTCAACTGGGATAGTGTATGCAAAAGTAAAGAAGATGATGGCCTTGGAATTAGAAAAACTAGAGGGCAAAATTCAGCCTTCCTTACCAAACTTGAGTGGACTTTACTGAGTGATAATAGCAAACTCTGGTGCTAAATCCTTTAATCCAAATATTTGAAAAATCATTCTTTCTTCAGCTGGCCCCAGAAGAAGACTTCATCCCATATTTGAAAGAGTATCTGTCACACTAGAGATACCCTTAGAAATTATGTTAAGTGGAGAGTAGGCAATGGTGATACTATCTCATTTTGGAATGATTGGTGCTGTAGAACACAACCACTGGCTAAAAATTATAACCCCAGTCACATCAATGATTCAACCAAGGTCAGCAATGTTCTTGATAATGAAGGGAATTGGGACACTGATATCCTTGCCAACCTTGTAAACCAACAGGACCTCCAAGAGATCATAAAGATCTATAGGCCCAAATTTGTGACCTACCCAGATGCCGCCTCTTATAATGGGTTCACTAGTGGTATTTTTACCACTGTTTCTGCTTGCAAAGCTATCACTACTCAAGAAGGAGATGGCAGAGATTGGAAATGGATCTAGAAATTGTAATTTCCTCAGAAAAAAGTGTTTCCTCTGGCCTATATTGAAAGACAAATTACCTACCGACCATGTAACAACCCCGACCTCTAATTAATGTTAATTCATGATTAAATAAGCCTAATCAATAATTAATGAAATTCTGACTTTAATTGCATGTGTGTGTGTCGCATTATTGTGCTTATATCTGTTTATCGTAGAAAGATCTGTTCGCATTTCTGTTTCTTCTTGCGAATTGAATGCCTCATCGACATCCAATCATGAAATTGACTCGATTTATGTGCTATTTAGGATTTTTAGAACATTATGGTAGATTTAATTAGAATTCGATTCAGAACGATTAAATTAGAATAATTTAATATTCAATTGATTAGTAAATCAACAATTTAATTAAACCATTAACCAAGCCTATATAAGGCTCCCATATGTGCCTCCACTCATTCTTTTTCTTCATCTCAACACATCTTTGAGCTTACACACACAAACCAAACATGGGAGAGAGAAAGAAGAGAAGTTTGAGCTCAAATGCGATTACCCCTACCGCACGTGCGGTTTTAGGTATCCAATATCGAAAATTCTGCTATGTTTTTGTGAGCTCTTCCTCTTCAAAACTTAAACCCAATTTGACCAAATCAAAGCCCAAAAGTTATCAAACATGGTGTATAGACAAATACCAAGTTCAAACCAAGAATAGGACTTTAAATTCAAACCCAAGTCCTACAATCACATGAACAACTTTAAAGTTGAGAAGAAAACAAAACCTATGCATATGGGAATTCTATGTTTTAACAAAACCGTGGAA